ACTGATGTACTTTGAGCGGGCCCTGGACCGGACCCCATGCGCGGACAAGGCTTCCCTTCTCGAAGGCGTGGAATGGTTATGTGAAGAGCCTCTGGTAGCAGACATCTCCGCAATGGGCGATGTTGCCGTTAGTGACTGGAATGAGCATGAGGCCTTGTGCAATGCGGGAATCGCTCGTAACACCATTCGACTGGGTGACTACAAACGGTACGCTTTTGAGACTGTTCAGTCTTGTGAAAATATTCTGTCATTAACTCTGCCTCCTTAGACTTGAAATGCATTTTGTTGAATTAAGGAAATATGTCAGTCAAAACATTTGTTTATATCATGTTAACTTAAAGTAGCCGAAAGTTGATATACATAACGATTGTTTTGCAGTGTAGACGGCAAAACCGTCTTATAGGACCGCCTAAATGTCTATTCCCCGCCCAAGTGTCTTACGAAATTGGTGGTCAAACATTCAATTCTTGGTTTATGCGTGTTAATGAATATTTAAAGTGATCAAAGAGTACTAAATTAAAGCCACTTATGGTTGTTTTAATGAGCTAAATATAATCAATTCCATCAACATAAACTCATGCTGCTCAGGCGACTGATACCTGTTGATGGAAATTCAAGCTTATATTGGTGGAATTTAACGACAAAAAGGAAAAGTCCGACTACTGAAAATGTAAAAGTAGATTATTATCATTATAAGTCAAGGGCAAATAGGACCCCTAAAGACAGTCCTACCGTGTAGACTCTAGGAAAGGAGTTAGCTCATACGGTGTGAAGGTGTGTGTCGCCAGACCGCCGAAACGCAGGCCTCACGCTGCGTGATCTGTTGTTGAACCAACAAAGTTAGTGTACTACAATAAAATTAGCAGAATCAATTGACAAGTCACTTAACCATAACCTTACAACCTGGACCCACTGTACTCAACCAGTGATCATAGAAGGAAAAAAAACTTCCTTGCATATTCTCTTCCAATAATTGAATAATGTTTCCATGATACAAAAAGGTTTCTGCTCCTAAACATATATGGATCTTTTTCTCAGACTCTGTGGTAATTCCCCTAACCGCTTCCTTCAGCCAAAATAACATTCTTGATCAGAAGAAGAAGAAGAAGAAGAAGAAGAAGAAGAAGAA